TTGAGGTGACTTCTACAGTGCATACCTCTTCTACAATGTATACCCTTTTCTTTATTGTGCTAAACTAATTCTTTAAGAAACTTAGAATTTGAGGTGTTGACGCCTCAAAATCACCAAATGGCGTCGGATTAGCACGAAACTTGGTACACACGATCGCCTAGGCACGAAAGACTTGTGGGAGAAAACGGGACTTGAATGGGGTTCCCGGTTTGGGAGTTAGAGCAGGATTTGGGTCTACGCAAACTAGTTCCTTAAGAAACTTAGAATTCGAGTTGTTGGCGCCCCAAATCACTAAACAATGTCAGATTAATACAAAACTTGGCATACAAGACCGCCTAGGCACGAGAGACTTGTGGGAGAAGACGGAACACTAATCAGGTTCCCGGTTTGGGAGTTAGAGCTGGATTTGGGTCTAGGCAAACTAATTCTTTAAGAAACTTAGAATTTGAGGTGTTGACGCCCCAAAATCACCAAACGGCGTCGGATTAGCACAAAACTTGGCACACCTGACCACCTAGGCACGAGAGACTTGTGGGATAAGACGGGACTCGGGTCGGGTTTCCGATTTGGGAGTTAGAGTCAAATTTCGGTCTAAGCAAACTAGTTCCTTAAAAACTTAAAATTCGAAGTGTTGACACCCCAAAATCACCAAACGGTGTTGGATTAGCACGAAACTTGGCACACACGACCGCCTAAGCACGAGAGACTTATGGGAGAAGACTGGACTCGAATCGGGTTCCTGGTTCGGGAGTTAGAAGCGGATTTGGGTCTAGGCAAACTACTTCCTTAAGAAATTTAGAATTCGAGGTGTTGAGGCCCCAAAATCACCAAATGGCGTTGAATTAGCACGTGGCACACACGACCGCCTAAGCACGAGAGACTTGTGGGAGAAGACGGGACTCGAATTGGGTTCCCGGTTTGGGAGTTAAAGTCGGATTTCGGTCTAGGCAAACTTGTTCCTTAAGAGACTTAGAATTCAAGGTGTTGACACCTCAAAATCACCGAACGACGTCAGATTAGTATGAAACTTGACACACACGACCGCCTTGGCATGAGAGACTTGTGGAAGAAGACGGGACTCGAACCGGGTTCCCGATTTGAGAGTTAAAGCCGGATTTCAGTCTAGGCAAAATTATTTACTTAACTATTTTTGTAATTGTATAGTAGTTAAATTTTTATGTTTTTTTTGTAATTAACTTATTAACACATAATTATATTGTCATTAATTATTTTTATTTTTTGTTTTCAGATATTTCCCAAGTAGGAGTTTACTTCTTGTAGAATGCATGCCCGTGAAGAATGCGACTAATTTTGTTTTTGTTAGCCATGAATTTTTTTACATATTATAGGTGATAGTAAAATGCCGTCGCAAAAGGTAACATTTGCCATTGCAAAAAAAAAAAAAAAAAGGCAACGGCATCATATCGTTGCTAAAACGTTTTAGTAACGCCCACTATTGTGACCTCCTCTTTGCCGTCGTTAAAATTTTTTTAAGACGACATTAAGAGTATGCCGCCGCAAAAAATTAAAATTTTTGTAGTGCAAGGGAACAAACTTGCATCACATTTGCTTAATTATTAGCCGAGACTTAGTTTGTGGACGACACTTTTTGTGGCTTTAATTTGTCAGGCATAACATTGGTTTAATATGCATCAATTTGCTCATAAGATATCAACTTCGAAAACAATACAATATGCTTTGCACTTTAATGTATTTTATTATTTTTTTAATTTTTTTTTGAACTAGGCACTTTAATGTAGTAGATTCTATTTATTGGACCTTTATCAAACAATTTGTATTTTTTTTTTTTGATTCAAAGGAAAGAGGATACTGGGTTTTGGGGATTTATAAAATTGACTCTTAGATTAATATCAAATACGAAGTCAGGAAAAAGAGCATATATATGATGAATAATGGGAGTCTGGTATGAGCAGATCTAGGGCCAAACCACAATATTATATTGTTGTTTATTGCATAGCAATTCAGTTTGTAGTTTTAATTAGGGCCAATTAAACTAAGCGTCATAATAGTTTGAGACTTGTGTCATTTTAATCATTGACTTTTTAATTGTGACATATTTGACTCTGAATTTTAAATTTTATTTTAAATAAGAATAATTGAATATACCATTATTCAATTTTAAGAGCAAAGTTGTCAATTTGATAAAATATAAATTAATTTGATAAAAATAAATGTCAAAAACATATTTTTAAATTTTTAAAAATTATTTCTACCCACCAAAGATAAAATTATGTAAAATTAATAAATCTTTTACGCATTTATTTATTTTACCAAATTAATTTTTATTATATGTTTGGATGATGATCATGTAATGTGTGGTTGTTAGGCTTTTAATGTGTAATCAATATGTTTAATATATGAAATATTTTTAGCTTTGAATATTTTAATTTAATGGATTGGTTTAATAATGATATCAAAGTGATCGCTATATTTGAGTTTTGAAAAAATAGAAAATAATTTAATGAAAATAAAAACAACCATCCATTACATGATCATCATCTAAATACATAATAAAAAATCAATTTGGTAAAATAAATAAATAAATAAATGTGTAAAAGATTTATCAATTTTAAACAATTTTGTCTATGGTAGATAGAAATAATTTTTAAAAATTCAAAAATATTTTTTGACATTTATTTTTGTCAAATTAGTTTATATTTTGTCGAATTGATGACTTTGCTCGTGAAATTGGGTAGTGGTATTTTCAATTATCTTTATTTGGAACAAGATTCAAAATTCAGGGTCAAATGTGTCACAATTAAAAAGACAAGAACTAAAATGACACAAGTTTCAAATTGTAAAGACCGTTAGTATAATCTACCCTTTTAATTGTTTACGAAAGGAATCGGATGTTCCAATTAAAAAGACACATTTTATTCATCGTTTGTAACTTGTCTTGTTTTATCATTGGTAGATGCACCAATGTTTTATCTAGATATTTTTCCATCATATTAGTAATCTACTAATCTTTTAGAGGTAGTGTCATCCATAATATCTACATTCTACTTTATATCTTTCCATAAATTTGTTTATAGCTCTGTGTATTCTTATGAGAAAGCAACTTAACCTTTTCAAGTAGTATATATTGGTCGACTCTGTAATTAGGAAATGCTTTTAATGTCATATATGTTCGTGTGATTTAAGAAAAAGTAAGCCTAGTATAGTCTCCATTAGAATGGGTCTGTGAGGGATAGATTGCATATAAATCTATCATTTGGTATAATTTGCACAAAGTAATTGTCCTCAAATTCGAACCTATAAGCTCAAGGTTAGTAAGGCGAGTTTTAAAGAACTTATCCTTTGACATAATTTATACAAAATAACCGTCCTCAAATTTAAACCCATAACTTCAAAATTAATAGGCTAAATTTTAACCACTGAAGTTGTGCGTCTCTGTGCGATGCAATTAACTGGAATTTATTTACAAAAGTGAACTGTTTTGGATTCAATGTTATGGTGCTTCAATACATTTGATAGGACTCCACTAACCTAGAAAATAGTACCTTGAAAGCAATTCAAATCTTGTGGGATATTTTGTGCGTTCTTAATTAAAGACTGAACCCCACTAAAGAAATCATTATCAAGAAAACCATTTTCAACTGGACTCTAATCTCTTCTCTAAATATTAGTAATATGAAGTTTTTCCTTCTTACTTTTGAGATTAAAAACTATCGGTTCTAGTAGGATTTTACTCCATCTTCTTCAATACTAAGAATTTGGCGTGTTCCATGAGAAGTCGATTGTACTTCCCAGTTCTCAATCTAAGCCATACTGTTGCCTTTCTTGCATAACTAGGATATTAATCTCTTGGGCTACATGACTTGTTTTACAGGAACAGTAATCATTATAAAGTTAGATAACTAAGAGACCTACTTGGGTGGTGGTGCTTTTGCATCCCCACCCCCCCACCAAAAAAAAAAAAAAAAAAAAAAAAAATGCAAACAAACAAACAAAAACAAAAACAAAGATTAAGGAAAGACAAAGAAACAAAAGAACATGGGTGATGTTGGTATGCGTTCAACATGATAACGATGGAAAAAAATAAAGTGAAAAGAGATATGCGTAACCATGGCAACTGATGGATGCTAAAATGTATCGAAACACCATAATAAGCAAAAACAGCCCTTTTGTGTTGTGTCTGTGTTTGTAAAGAGAAGGATTATAGTGCACATTACTCAAACATGGAATGCCTGCAATCAAATGGATAACAGCTTTTGCAGAAAGAAAAGTTAAGAATGGAAATGTCAAGGATAATCCTTGGCTTGTCAAGAGGTGATGAATTTTTTTTTTAAATTTAGCTGGTAATTTTTCTATTGGTCACCTTCTTCACCTCCTGTCTGTGTCAATAGAGTGAGGAATTGCCAACCTAAACTAGTTTGCTAGACCAATCGAAATTGATTAATGTCATATTTCTAAACCTCGTAAGCGAAATCCAGGAACAGTACGTGGGAATTGGGAAGTGGATAGCTTTTTCACATGTTTTTCTTGCTATAGTAGGTTTTGTATAATCAACCAACATGTCCACCCCACCACCACCCTCACCCTTTACTCCTGTTACCCTGATTAACTCTTACGTAAACAATGTCGCTTACATCTCTCTCCATTCTTGTATGCTGACAGAATCAGTACTTATCCATTTATAGGAATAACCTATGGAATTTTCTTTCAGTCATTTCGAAAACAGTTCACGATTAACATTCCTTTTTTTTATTTTTAATATGCTTTGTATAGGAACTTCTTTATCACAGTTCATAGTATTAATCATGGAAAAGATCCCGGTGGAATCTGGTCAGACAGGTCAATTCTAATGTCTTCCTCTCTTATTTAGCCCTGGTTACCTGTGAATCTTTATGTGGTTGATGGAGGAATATTATATCTAAACCCACAGAGATCTTTAACTTCTAGATATAAATAAGTGATATCATAATTAAGGGAAATTATAAAATATTTCCGGAGTTCCACGTGTCTATACTCCAAGATTACTGAATAATTGCTCCATAATTAAGCTAATATAAGAATCATAGGAACACAAGATGTTGCAGTTTTCTTCTCTCGATCTGGTACAGCTTAAAATGAAGGAAAATATGGATGGACTTAGAAAAGAGATAAATAGATAAATAAAATCATCTCGGCCTTTATCTCAACGAAGCAGACCAGTGGAACTTGTGTCCGACTGGCTTGATGATTCGGTTCTGAGGTAAGCCGAGTTACAATTAATATCATCTAGATCTCTCAAAGTAGGGTAGGTACTATTGAGCTGCATGTCTGCGAGCATCTGACGAAGCCCTGAAGTTTCTTCTTTGAGCTGAGTATTCTCTTGAAGGATCTTGTCGTGGGATTCTGAAGCATGGTTTAGTTTATCAATGAGTTGGTGATTCTCGTTTCGGAGCCAAAGAACCTGTGACCAGAGCTCGTCAAGGTGCTTCTGTTTGCGCATACGTGATCGGCGTGCAGACTCTCTGTTGGATATCATTCTTCTCTGCTTCCTCTCATTGATGAGGCTTAGTTGTTGTTCATCTGCTTCATCTGAAGTTGAGTTACTGCTGAAGCATGTCGACTGTGAGTTGAATTCTTGACCTTGAGGAGTAATTTGAAGATGAAATAAAGGATTAGTGGATCTGCTAAACTGAAATGTTGGAATGTTGTTTGGTGTCAAACCAAAATTAGGCATATATGGATTTGAATACGAAGGAGCTAGATAATGTTCTGCAACCTCACTCGCTTGCATGGCTTTGAACTTTTTGTGTGATATACAGAGACGGGTTGGGATCAAGCTCTAAGGTGGAAATCAGGAGAAGAAGTTGGTGTTTTTGAGGTGAGTGGAAGTTCGGGGGGGAAGAGGCATTTTATAGGAGGGAAAAAGGCAAAAATGGCCCCACTTAGAGTAGCTAGAGCTTCTTAAAGATGAGACCATTGGAATATGATGCATGAACTGTGCTTCTACATAAATAGCATCACATCCATGTATACATGAAACATGCAACACACAAGCCTAAAATGGGTAATTATCAATGGTCACATATATACATGTTTGAAGTGTATGTTATCCATGAAGCATACATACATGCATACATGGAAATGTTGTGGATAATCCTCTCGAGAGATCAAATATTGGCTTACATCAGAGAGATTCGTGGATAGTTTATATGGTGGGGAGTATAATAATTTAGTTGTGGGAATTCTTTGGTAGCCAATTGAAGATCATTTTTACACTTGAAAATGTTGTTAGCCAACAGCATTTGGTGACGTATTGGAATGGGGAGAACAAGGTTGGGGAAGACAAGCTCTTTTCTATAAGGGGAAAAGATTATATTAGGAATTGATGACTCAACCACCACTTGGATGAGATCCATCATAAAATAAAATACAATCTACTTGGTCCTTAACATTTGGGTTGTTAGGAGTCACAGTCCCTTGTGGCACATTTAGGTACAGATCAGTGTGCCACATCATAGCAGGGGAGAGGGGAGGGGTGCTTTTAGTCATTCGGGTATTAGACTGTTAGGTAGGCTTTTTCACAGTTTTGCTACAGACACAAATAGATTGCACACAAGGGGTGTGTAACCTACGTCCCGGCCCCTTGTGTTTCTTTTGTGCACTTTCTATGCACTTTTTTTGGTGTCACTAGACTAATTCAACAACATTGTGTGGAAGAAGGACAGCATCACCTTCCACTGTGATTCTTTTTTCAGTAGTGCAAAAACTGTGATGTGATATTTTACTAGGTAATATTTATATTTCATTAAGTTGTATTTGGATATTAAGTAGTACCTGACCTTTCATTGGATTGCAACCAGAAAAAAATAAATCATCCATTGAACATAATGTAATGAAGCTATTGGTAAAAAGAATGGGGAAAATTGAAACTGCATAATGTAATCAAGTCTGCAATCTGCCGTTAAGTTATACAAAGCATGGATTTGTGTCAAAGTTAGTCAAAATCTACTGATATTAGCCTTGAAGTATAGTAGAATGAGTACCACTGGAAAAAGTTGGCAATATTTGATGGGTAGACGATTGTGCTCTGGAATGTTTTATGCATCAACTAATAGTGTTTCTAATTCACTATTTTCTCTGGGATGCTATAGTGTTTTCTGAGTTATGAGCAAGAAAGTTTTAATATTTTAGGGGATCCAAAGTCATTGTATAATTAAAGTTTAATGATTTAGTTGAATGTGATGATAACCAACTAAAAGAAAAAGGGATAATTTTTATGTGCTGATGATTTCATGCTCACAAAACATCACAGAACAACTGTAAACAAAGATCTTATTTGAGATCCCTGGTCATGGTATTTCATTAAAATTTGGGTAAATCACAAACACACCCCTAAGCTTTACTTAAATTACAAATTACCCTCTGTAGTTTTAGAAATTATATTATGCCCTCTAAGGCTTCTAATTTCATAACAAATAGGTCATTTTATTAATAAATCATCAAGTTAATTAACAATTTTTAATAATGTCAAAATTTTATTTCAATTAATAATTCAGATAATTTTATTATTATATAGGTGAACAGTTAGAAATCTCACTTTTTCAATTAACTCTATTAAATAAAAAATTCTGACAGGGAAGTATTTGTAATTTTCCAAATCACAGGGAGTAATTCGTATTTTAAACAAATCCCAGGGGTGTATTTGTAATTTACCCATAAAATTTCTATAACACATTTGTTATCACACTCTAGAGTCATAAGCTTGCATCGGCATAAGTTCGACCTCAGTCAATACAAGTTAAATAAAATAGTTGTTCTTTCGTTTTCTATTTTTTGTTTTTATTTTCAAAAAACACATAAAATTTATTTGATGAACTGTTTCTGAAACTGTTTAGCTTTTTGCCTTGATCGTGCAACTGATCATTGAGTGTTGAGCAATGGAAAAAAATCTTGTTATGTGGTGGTGGGAATGGGGAGGGGCTAGGGAGGAGATATAGATATGTACTTTGAAATGCTCTCTCTCTCTCTCTCTCTCTCTCATGTTGGGGTCAGCTTGAGTGGACTACATGGTCAACAATATCATAAGACACAGATAGACCTCTCTTTCATTTCTTGTCTTCAAAATGTTCTTTCTTGTTCCATTTCTATGTGCTTTCCTTTTTCCTTTTCTCTTTCCTCTTTTCCAATGAAGTCTTTTTCCATATGAGGATTGATAGTATAAAGGTTGCTAATGACTAATGACTAATGTAGTTGAATACATATAGCAGTATCTCTCTTCTTGTCCTGTATACTTGTATAGATACATTGCGTTCACAATCACGAGAAAGTATTTTATGTAACGTGGTTGATCTAACGTAGCAGTCATGTGATAAAAGGTGAGACTGGAGCTTGATATAGCCGAACACTAAGTACCTTACGCCGAACACGAAGCAACTTTCTAGGTTTCATATTTACTATAAAACGAATAATGTGTGGAATGGTACACCACGTCATGTGGTATACCCGTTACATAAAATGATTTCTTTCACATAGCAGATGTTTACAACAATTAAACCGGTAAGCTGAAAATTGACTTTGTCCATAATTTTTGGATGTTTTTCTGTAGTAATTTGATTTTAACCATTTTTATGCCAACATTAAAATCTCTTTTGAATTTGCTTCTTTTAAATGGCTTTAGCTTTATATGGGCATGTTTTCAATTAATGTTTAATTTTTTAGGTAGACCATGCTTGTATCTCAGCCTTAAACTTTCAAATAAATAAATAGATAAAAATCCAAGAAGCTCAATTTCTGTTCAATAACATAACATCCTAATTGGATCTCTCTTGGTCAATAGTGCATTTCACAGGTGAGATATGGATCTAAATCACTTTGTGAACTGAAAAACAGAGCCAAGTATCACGATGAAGGAAAATCAGTATGTCCTTTTCCTTTTTGCTGTTTTTTTTATTTTTTATTCAGCAGATTAAATTTTTTCATAGTAATACTTAGAAACCCTAATTCCCTATCAATCCCACGATTAGGCCAGAAATCTCTGATTGTCCTCTTTTTAGATAAAGATAAAATAGTCTGCTCTACATCAAGTTTTCTCATGTTTCAAATCTTCCCCATTCGATGATTAAGTTATAAACTTTGGGTCTCTCTCTCTTTTTAACTTGACTATAGCATTTGAAAATGGTGGAGCAATCTAAATGAAACTATATAGTCTATCATGTGATATGTACTTTTAGAATTATTTTATGTGATAAATTTTGTGGTTAATTCTGTGTCCTTAAAAATCCTCATAGTGTGATAGAAGGAAAATTAGAGGAGGACAAAGAATCCATACTAATTTGTGTATATTATATTTTATATATAGCACCCTCATCAGATGTGAAAGCAATGATTAAAAACATATCCACCAAACTCAGCTGAGACCCTAACCCTGGATATGCATATCTTATTAATCTCATACCCATTCATGTCCGTATCTGATCACATTTCCATATCATACCCTTCATGACACACAACCCACACACACAACTAAAAACAATTGGATGGACAATTTTGGGGAAAAAAACAAATTTCACAGGGGGAGAATCTGACACCAAATAAGGACAGTGCCCTAAAATAACGGCTTGGGTCACCCACGGAGGGCTACGTGATTTTTCGGAGAGACGATATCTCCTCCCACCCCACCCCCACCCCCACCCCACACCATCCTATTACCAAACACCAAAAATTTTATTCATCTGAACAAATGAGGGTAGTATGTATGCAGGACTACCAGGCCACCTTTAGACAGAGTGCACCACCCCCACCACCTATTGCCTTACTTGGTGTTTGAGTAAAAATTCAATAACACGGTGATACGAAATAGTTAATTAATAATAAATATATCTATGATGATGATGATTGTAATTACCCACTTTAACGTGATTATGTAATTGTCAAATATATGTGATCATATTTATATGGTAGTTTTTATTAGATGGTGATACACATGTTGATGGAGAATTGATATTTTTTTTTCTTGTTAGTTCGACTCAAATGAGTCCAAATCACCTAGTTTCTTCTCACCAAAGCTTGCGTGGTGATCTAGATAATTGCCTCTCCTCTCTTATAGAATTTTTTAAAATATTGTTGGAGTATCATATTGCATTGTTTATGCGGTATTCTTGGTTAATGAGAAATCACAACACACATTAAATATTTCATTATGTCTCCTAAAATGAGTCCAAATCACCTAGTTTCTTCTCACCAAAGCTTGCGTGGTGATCTAGATAATTGCCTCTCCTCTCTTATAGAATTTTTTAAAATATTGTTGGAGTATCATATTGCATTGTTTATGCGGTATTCTTGGTTAATGAGAAATCACAACACACATTAATGCTGTGTTTGGTTGGGGGATTTGGGGAGGGATTTGGAAAGGGAAAGGGAAAAGGTGTGTGAAACTATGTGAAATATAAGTATATTTTTTTCACATTTCACCTACCTTTTCTATTTCCCTTTCTAAATCCCTCCACAAATCCATCAACCAAACACATATTTCATTATGTCTCCTAAGTATTTTTTATTGGTAAATCTACATAATTTGTTATTGAAACACCGCATTAGTAATAAATACTCTTCTCTCACATGTATAGAACCAAAACGGAATATCACTGTGACCAATACGATTAATCAAATAGGTTAGGTGGAACCAATATTAACTAATTGTCTATCACTTAATCAACCAACTAATCTTTGCTTGATTCATTTAATGTTTTTCATTCGCGGGTGTTTAACTTCGCATGATATCATTAGAATAAAAAAAAAAATAAAAAATTGAGACCTCTAAAAAGACTTTCCTAATTAATTGGGTTTGTTTAGAAAGTGGGTTGGTTTTTTTGTCTTTTTTAATTATTTTAACCT